AAAGCTATTGTCCTCCCAACCCTGCTATATGCCTGCAAGACGTGGACTGTCTACAGACGTCAACATTGACACTTAAATACAACACTACCTGAGCTCTGCGAGTGCAGCATTTTCCTGGATGAAGCAGAGAGTGTTTGAGGATCAGGACATCTGTACGGAGACCAAGGTGCTTGTTTATAAAGCTATTGTCCTCCCAACCCTGCTATGTGCCTGCAAAACGTGGACCGTCTACAGATGTCAACACTGACACTGAAATACAACACTGCCGTTCAATGCTAAGGCTTCCCACCAAAATGGAACTGTAGAGGAGTCTTCTGAACAAGCCAGTACCTGCCGCATACTGGTACCGCCATCTGTTGAGGCGTTACGAAGGTGGAGGCATTACTTTTCATTCAACCCTCGAATTTCATGGGTAAGTCAGAAGCAAGAAATAGTGGCTCAATCTACTACAAAAGTAGAACATATTGCAGCATCACACACAAGAGAATTGATATGGATTGATGAGCTACTAAATAATTTCAAAATGGATGAACAATAAGCAATTAAAGCTTATGAAGACAATCAGAGCTGTATAAAAGCAAAAAGATGATGTTATAAACAAAGAAAATCAGGATCAAGTACCACAACGTAGTTTGAAGCCATTATTCCATGTCCTAGTCTCCAAGGAAGCAGAAAGGAAGCTTGCTCCTTCCTCCCTGTGGCTTCCTCTCACATATTTATACATGGCCCTCATCATGTCTCCTCTCAGCCTTCTCTTCTTCAGGCTAAACATGCCCAGCTCTTTAAGCCGCTCCTCGTGGGGCTTGTTCTCCAGACCCTTGATCGTTTTTAATGTCCTTGGCCAGCCTGAGCTCGTTTTGTGCTTTAGCCTTGCGGACCTTTTCCCTACAGGTGTTGGCTATTTGTTTGAATTCTTCTTTGGTGATTTCTCCCTTTTTCCAATTCTTGTGCATGTCTCTTTGTGTCTTAGCACAGTTAGAAGTTGTTTGGACATCCATTCTGGCTTCCTTGCACTTGTCCTATTTTTTTCTCATGCCCAGCTCTTTAAGCCACTCCTCATAGGGTTTGTTCTCCAGACCCTTGATCATTTTAGTCACCCTCCTCTGGACACATTCCAGCTTGTCAATATCTCTCTTCAATTGTGGTGCCCAGAATTGGACACAATATTCCAGGTAAAGTCGTCTAACCAAGGCAGAATAGAGCATGGGGAGCAGGACTTCCCTGGATATGGACCAGTGGTTCTCAACCTTCCTAATGCCGTGACCTCTTAGTACAGTTCGTCATGTTGTGGTGACCCCCAACTATAACATTTCGCTACTACTTCATAACTGTCATTTTGCTCCCATCATGACTCATCATGTATATACCTGATATGTAGGATGTATTTTCATTCATTGGTCCAAATGTGACACAAATACCCAATATGCCCAAATTTGAATACTGGTGGGATCGGGGAAGGGGGAGTCATTTCGTCATTTGGGAGTTGTAGTTCACCTACATCCAGAGAGTACTGTTGACTCAAACAATGATGGATCTGGTCCAAACTTGGCATGAATACTCAATATGCCCAAATGTGAATACTGCTTGGGAAAAATAGACCTTGACATTTGGGAGTTGTGGTTACTGGGATTTATAGTTCACCTACAATCAAAGAGCAATCTGAACTCCACTAACGATGGAATTGATCGAAACTTGCACACAAAACTCCCATGGCTAACAGAAAATACTGAAAGGGCGTGGTGGGCATTGACCTTGAATTTGGGAGTTGTAGTTCACCTCCACCCAGAGATCACTGTGGAGTCAAACAATGATGGATCTGGACCAAACTTGGCACAAATACTCAATATGCCCAAATGTGAACACTGGTAGAGTTTGGGGAAAACAGACCTTGACATTTGGGAGTTGTAGTTGCTGGGATTTCTAGTTCACCTCCAATCAAAGAGCATTCTGAACTTCACCAACGATGGAATTGAACCAAACTTGGCACACAGGACTCCCATGACCAACAGAAAATACTGGAAGGGTTTGGTGGGCACTGACCTTGAGTTTGGGAGTTGTAGTTCACCTCCACCCAGAGAGTACTGTGGACTCAAACAATGATGTATCTGGACCAAACTTGGCACAAATATGCAATATGCCGAAATGTGAACACTGGTGGAAGTTGGGGAAAATAGACCTTGACATTTGGGAGTTGTAGTTGCTGGGATTTATAGTTCACCTACAATCAAAGAGCATTCTGAACTCCACGAATCATATATTAGAACCAAACTTGGCACACAGGACTCCCATGACCAACAGAAAATACTGGAAGGGTTTGGTGGGCATTGACCTTGAGTTCTGGAGTTGTAGTTCACCTCCGCCCAGAGAGTACTATGGACTCAAACAATGACGTATCTGGACCAAACTTGGCACAAATACGCAATATGCCCAAATGTGAACACTGGTGGAAGTTGGGGAAAACAGACCTTGATATTTGGGAGTTGTAGTTGCTGGGATTTATAGTTCACCTCCAATCAAAGAGCATTCTGAACTTCACCAACAATGGAATTGAACCAAACTTGGCACACAGAACTCCTACGACATACTGAAAATACTGGAATAGTTGGCAATGACATTTGTAAATAACCACATGGAGTAGTTATAGAGGAAACTGCTCAGGGCAGCTCACAACAGAATCAAGTCACAACTACACACGTAAGCAGAAACCAACAAGCCCAATAACTATAAAGAACCAATTCTAACCAATAATCATAAACAAAAAAGCCCAATATCATAACACAGGTTAAAATTGCACTGGATTTAGAAACAGATTGCACTGCAAAGTTAAGAAAAGGAGGAGGAAAAAGAGAGGGAGAAAAAGAAGGAGAACAAAAAGTAAAAGGAAGAGAAAGGGAAAGAGAAAAGGAGGAGAAGGAGGAAAAGGAGAGGGGGAAAAGAAAGAAGAAAAGAGTAGGAGAACAAGTAAAAGGAAGAGAAAGACAAAAGGAGGAGAAAAGGGGAAAGGAAGCGAAAGGGAAAGAGAAAAGGAGGAGAAGGAGAAGAGGGAAAGAAAGAGGAGAAGAGAAGGAGAACAAGTAAAAGGAAGAGAAAGACAAAAGGAGGAGAAAAGGAGAAAAAGTAAAAGGAAATGAAAGGTAAAGAGAAAAGGAAAAGAGGGAAAAGGAGAGGGAAAAAAAGAAAGAGAAGTGATAAAGGAAGGAGTAAAAGAAGGAGAATACGAAAAGAAGTAAAAGGAGGAAAAGGGGAAGCAGAAAAAGTAAAAGGAAGAGAAAGGGAAAGAGAAAAGGAGGAGGAAAAGTAGAGGGAGAAAAGAAAGACAAGAGAAGGAGGAGAGTAAAAGGAAGAGAAAGGGAAAAGGGGGGGAAAGAGTGAGAGAAAAAGAAGATAAGAAGGAGAAGTAAAAGAAAGAGAAGGGGAAGGAGAAAAGGAGGAGAACAAGAAGAGGGAGAAAAGAAGGAAAAGTCAAAGAGAAGAAGAAAGAGAAGAAGTAAAAGGAAGAGAAGGGGGAAGAGAAATAGAGGAGGAGGAAAAAAGAGGGAGAAAAGAAAGAGAAGAAGGAGAAGTAAAAGGAAGAGAAGGGGAAGGAGAAAAGGAGGAGAACAAGGAAGAAAAGAAGGAAAAGTAGAAGAAGAAGAAAGAGAAGAAGCAAAAGGAAGAGAAGGGGAAAGAGAAATGGAGGTGGAGGAAAAAAGAGGGAGAAAAGAAAGAACATAAGATCTAGCAATAGAGGAAATGATTATTTTCTGTAATTAAATCAAACGAAGATAATTTAATATAATGATTTTTAAAACAGAAAAAAGCTAGTAATATATTTAATCCCGTCCCTTGTCTTATGCAATTGCATAATTAATTTCTTCTCAAAATATAATTATTATCCAAGTGCAGAGCAGCATAGCTGGTGCGTGCCCAAGGTTGGCCCCACCTTCTGTGACAGGCAACTGCTTCAGCTACTAAATTTTGGGTACTATGGAAAACAGCACATTGTTAGTGGGGGGCAATCGTTAGGTTGGGTCTACATGGAGGAATGAATGCGGTTTGACACCACTTTCACTGCCATGGCTCAAAATTATGGATGATTACTATTAATTATTATTATACACCATTATATAATTAATATTAGTAATAATAATTATATAATAATTTTAATTATGGTTATATAATAATTATATTATTATTTATATATCATTATATAATTAATATTAGTAATAATTATATAATAATTATATATTAGTAATATTATATAATAATTATTAAATACTTAATTATAATTAATTATAATTTTATAATTAATTATAATTATAGTAATTATAAAATTTAATTAATTATAAAATATAATTAATTAATTAAAATTATAATTGATTAATTATAAAATTAAAATTACCTAAAATATAATTAGTTAATTACAAAAATTATAATATAAAAATATAATTAACTAAAATTACTAAAATATAATTAATTCATAATAAAATTATAATAATTAATTAATTAATTAATTATAATTTAATAATTAATTAATTATGGTTTTTTTATAATTAATTAATTATAAATTTTAACTATCTTTCCGGTTGTGTATATGTTGTATAAGGAACAATCAAGTAATTCTTTCTTGGAGCTAAACAGTGCTCTTGTCTATCAAACATAAATAAATGCAATAATAATAATAATAATAATAATAATAATATAATTATAAAATTATAATTAATTATAAAATTATAATTAATTATAAAATTATAATTAATTATAAAATTATAATTAATTATAAAATTATAATTAATAATCATAATATTGTATAATTTATTAATAACTTTATTAATATTAATTAAAATATATTTTTAATAAACATAATTATAATCAATAATAATTAAATTTAATATAAATTTAAAACTATATTAAAATTTTTTTAATAAAAATTATAATAGTATTATTATACAAAAAGTGAAGAGAGAGAGAAGGTGGGAGGAGAAAGAGAGAAGGGGAGAAGGAGCCTCCTTCCTTCTTACCTGCCTGCCTGCCCAGCCGGGCTCTTCTCCCTCGGCGGCGTCTCCGAAGGGAAGAAGGAAGGGAGTGAAGGAGGGCAGCTTGGCCGCTCTGGTGACTCCGCCCCCGGAGGCGGGGCTTAGAGGCAGGCCACCAGGTGCAGCAGTTCCCAGGCTTTGGGTCTCCCTTCCAGGTGGGCGTCGCCTACAACTCCCGGCATTCCCTGCCCTTGGCCACCAGCGAGGGGGCTTCTGGGAGTTGGAGTCCACAAACACCTGAAGCTGGCTTTTGCTTCTGGGGCAGATCAGAATCATAGAATCCCAGAGTTGGAAGAGATCTCATGGGCCATCTAGTCCAACCCCATTCTGCCAAGAAGCAGGAAAAGCACAATCAAATCATCCCCAACAGATGGCCATCCAGCCTCTGTTTAGGAGCCTCCAAAGAAGTAGATAGATAGAATCATTGAATCACAGAGTTTGGGGAGACCACATGGACCATCTAGTCCAATCCCATTCTGCCAAGAAGCAGGAAAAGCACAATCAAATCATCCCCAACAGATGGCCATCCAGCCTCTGTTTAGGAGCCTCCAAAGAAGTAGATAGATAGAATCATAGAATCACAGAGTTTGGGGAGACCACATGGACCATCTAGTCCAATCCCATTCTGCCAAGAAGCAGGAAAGGCACAATCAAATCATCCCCAACAGATGGCCATCCAGCCTCTGTTTAGGAGCCTCCAAAGAAGTAGATAGATAGAATCATTGAATCACAGAGTTTGGGGAGACCACATGGACCATCTAGTCCAATCCCATTCTGCCAAGAAGCAGGAAAAGCACAATCAAATCATCCCCAACAGATGGCCATCCAGCCTCTGTTTAGGAGCCTCCAAAGAAGTAGATAGATAGAATCATTGAATCACAGAGTTTGGGGAGACCACATGGACCATCTAGTCCAATCCCATTCTGCCAAGAAGCAGGAAAGGCACAATCAAATCATCCCCAACAGATGGCCATCCAGCCTCTGTTTAGGAGCCTCCAAAGAAGTAGATAGATAGAATCATTGAATCACAGAGTTTGGGGAGACCACATGGACCATCTAGTCCAATCCCATTCTGCCAAGAAGCAGGAAAAGCACAATCAAATCATCCCCAACAGATGGCCATCCAGCCTCTGTTTAGGAGCCTCCAAAGACGTAGATAGATAGAATCATTGAATCACAGAGTTTGGGGAGACCACATGGACCATCTAGTCCAATCCCATTCTGCCAAGAAGCAGGAAAAGCACAATCAAATCATCCCCAACAGATGGCCATCCAGCCTCTGTTTAGGAGCCTCCAAAGAAGTAGATAGATAGAATCATTGAATCACAGAGTTTGGGGAGACCACATGGACCATCTAGTCCAATCCCATTCTGCCAAGAAGCAGGAAAAGCACAATCAAATCATCCCCAACAGATGGCCATCCAGCCTCTGTTTAGGAGCCTCCAAAGACGTAGATAGATAGAATCATTGAATCACAGAGTTTGGGGAGACCACATGGACCATCTAGTCCAATCCCATTCTGCCAAGAAGCAGGAAAAGCACAATCAAATCATCCCCAACAGATGGCCATCCAGCCTCTGTTTAGGAGCCTCCAAAGACGTAGATAGATAGAATCATTGAATCACAGAGTTTGGGGAGACCACATGGACCATCTAGTCCAATCCCATTCTGCCAAGAAGCAGGAAAGGCACAATCAAATCATCCCCAACAGATGGCCATCCAGCCTCTGTTTAGGAGCCTCCAAAGAAGTAGATAGATAGAATCATTGAATCACAGAGTTTGGGGAGACCACATGGACCATCTAGTCCAACCCCATTCTGCCAAGAAGCAGGAAAGGCACAATCAAATCATCCCCAACAGATGGCCATCCAGCCTCTGTTTAGGAGCCTCCAAAGAAGTAGATAGATAGAATCATTGAATCACAGAGTTTGGGGAGACCACATGGACCATCTAGTCCAATCCCATTCTGCCAAGAAGCAGGAAAAGCACAATCAAATCATCCCCAACAGATGGCCATCCAGCCTCTGTTTAGGAGCCTCCAAAGACGTAGATAGATAGAATCATTGAATCACAGAGTTTGGGGAGACCACATGGACCATCTAGTCCAATCCCATTCTGCCAAGAAGCAGGAAAGGCACAATCAAATCATCCCCAACAGATGGCCATCCAGCCTCTGTTTAGGAGCCTCCAAAGACGTAGATAGATAGAATCATTGAATCACAGAGTTTGGGGAGACCACATGGACCATCTAGTCCAATCCCATTCTGCCAAGAAGCAGGAAAGGCACAATCAAATCATCCCCAACAGATGGCCATCCAGCCTCTGTTTAGAAGTCTCCAAAGAAGGAAATAGATAGATAGAATCATTGAATCACAGAGTTAAAAAAAGATCTCGTGGGCCATCTAGTCCAACCCCATTCTGCCAAGAAGCAGGAAAGGCACAATCAAAGCACTCCCGACAGATGGCCATCCAGCCTCTGTTTCAAAGCCTCCAAAGAAGGAAATAGATAGCTAGAATCAACCCTTAAATCTCTACTTTGAACCTTCTGCTCTCATCTTGACCCAATGAAAGTTTCACAGAATAAATAGCCATGTGGGCCAATTAATACATTTGCTACTACATTGATAACCAAAGTATTCCGAATCTGAGTTTCCTTTCTGCTGCGGACAGCCTGCCCTCTGCTGGAGGCTGGGCCTCATTGCTGGCATCTAAGGAGAGAGCAAAAAGAACCGGGAGAAGCCAAAGGGAATGCCGGCAGGACACAGTCACTGGCGAGCTGCCCGCCTGCTTTCTCCCTTCCCCGGCTCTTAGAGGGCAGGCCTCGCCATGTCTCCCTGGCAACATGTCTCCTCTTGCCCTTCCTTCCTTCCTTCCTTCCTTTTCCTTCCTCCTTCCTTCCTTCCTTCCTTCCTTCCTTCCTTCCTTCCTTCCTTCCTTCCTTCCTTCCTTCTCCCTCCTTCTTTCTTTTCTTCTTTCTCTTCTTCCTTCCCTCTTTCCTTCCTCCTTCTCCTTCCTTCCTTTCTCCTTTCCTTCCTCTCTCCCTTTCTTCCTTCTTCTTTCCTTCCTTCCTTCTTCCTTTCCTCCTCCTTCCTTTTCCTTCCTCCTTCTTCCTTCCTTCTTTTCCCTTCCTCCCTTTCTCCCCTCCTTCTTTCTCCTCCTCCCTTCCTTTTCTCTCTTCCTCCCTCCCCCCCTCCCTTTCTTCTTTCCTTCTTTTCTTCTCTTCTTTTCCTTCTCTTTCTTCCTTCCCTTCTCCTCCCTTCCCTTCTTTCTTTCTTCTTTCTCCTTCCTTCCTTCTCCTTCCCTCCCTCCCTTCTTTCTTTCTTCTTCCTTTCTTTCTCCTTCCTTCTTTCCTTCTCTCTTCTTTTCCTTTCTTCTTCCTCCCTTCCTTCTTTCCTTCCTTCTTTCTCTTCTCTCTTCTTCCTTCCTTTCTTCCTTTCTCCCCCCTCCCTCCCTCCCTCCCTCTTTCCTTTTCTCTTCCTTCCTTCTCCTTCCTTCCTTCCTTCCTTCTCTCCCTTCTCTTTTTTCCTTCCCCCTTCCTTTCTTTCTCTCTTCCTCCTTCCCTCCCTCTCTCCCTTTTTTTCTTTCTCCCTCCCTCTCTCCCTCCCTCCCTCCCTCTCTCCCTTCCTCCCTCCCTCGCTTCCTTTGTCTCTTCCTTCCTATCTCCCATCCTTCCTTCCTTCCTTTCTCCCTCCCTCCCTTACCTCCTCGCTTCCTTCCTTCCTTCCTTCCTTCCTTCCTCTATTCCTCCCTTCCTTTGTCCCCCCTTTCTTTCTCTCCCTTCCTCCTTTCTTTCTCCCTCCCTCCCTTCTTTCTTTTCTCCTTCCTTCCTTCTCCTCTTCCTCCCTCCTTCTTTCTTTTCCTTCCTTTTCTTTCTCCTTCCTTTCCTTCTCTTCTCTTCCTTCTTCCTCCCTTCCCTTCTTTCCCTTCCTTTCTTTCTCTTCTCTCTTCTTCCCTTCCTTTCTTCCTTTCTCCCCCCTTCCTCCCTCCCTCCCTCCTTTTCCTTTTCCTTCCTTCTTCTCCCTCCTTCCTTCCTTTCCCCCTTCCTTTCTTTCTCTATTCCTTCCTTCCTCCCTCTCTCCTTTTCTTACTTTCTCCCTCCCTTCCTTCCTCCCTCCCTTCCTTCCTCCCTCTCTCCCTCCCTCCCTCCCTCCCTCCCTTCCTTCCTTCATTTCTTTCCCCTTCCTTTCTTTCTCTATTCCTTCCTCCCTCCCCTCTCCCTCCCTCCCTCCCTCCCTCTCTCCCTTCCTCCCTCCCTCGCTTCCTTTGTCTCTTCCTTCCTATCTCCCATCCTTCCTTCCTTCCTTTCTCCCTCCCTCCCTTACCTCCTCGCTTCCTTCCTTCCTTCCTTCCTTCCTTCCTTCCTTCCTTCCTTCCTTCCTTCCTCTATTCCTCCCTTCCTTTGTCCCCCCTTTCTTTCTCCCTTCCTTCCTTTCTCCCTCCCTCCCTTCCTTTCTTTCTCCCTTCCTTCCTATCTCTCTTCCTCCCTCCCTTCTTTCTTTCTTTCCTTCCTTTCTTTCTCCCTTCCTTTCCTTCTCTCTTCATTCTTCCTTTCTTCCTCCCTTCCTTCTTTCCTTCCTTTCTTTCTCTTCTCTCTTCATTCCTTCCTTTCTTCCTTTCTCCCTCCCTCTCTCCTTCCCTCCCTCCTTTCCTTTGTCTCTTCCTTCCTATCTCCCTTCCTTCCTTCCTTTCTCCCTTCCTTCATTTCTTTCCCCTTCCTTTCTTTCTCTATTCTTCTCCCTCCCTCCTCTCCTTTCTTTCTCCCCCTCCCTTCCTCCCTCCCTTCCTTCCTTTCCCTCTCTCCCTCCCTCCCTTCCTTCCTTCCTTCCTTCCTTCCTTCATTTCTTTCCCCTTCCTTTCTTTCTCTATTCCTTCCTCCCTCCCTCTCTCCCTCCCTCCCTCCCTCTCTCCCTTCCTCCCTCCCTCGCTTCCTTTGTCTCTTCCTTCCTATCTCCCATCCTTCCTTCCTTCCTTTCTCCCTCCCTCCCTTACCTCCTCGCTTCCTTCCTTCCTTCCTTCCTCTATTCCTCCCTTCCTTTTCCCCCCCTTTCTTTCCCCTTCCTTCCTTTCCTTTCTCCCTCCCTCCCTTCCTT